ACTTTCCATCCCAACAACAATTCAGGAGAATGTCAAAAGCAGCTACTAAAGTTTTAAATCAGCAGGTCTGGATAACGTACATCCAAAAATGTTAAAGTACTATACAAACTGTTAATATTGATTTTTATTAATTCCTAGAACATGAGAGAAAAAGAGCTAATATTGTGCCAATATTTTAAAAGGATAAAGGGAATAACCTAGGTAACCCAGGCAATTATAGGCCTGACTTTGAACCCAAGCAAAACAATAGAATAGCTGATAAAGTACTATTAATGAAAAATTAAAGGAGGGAAATACATACATGTTAATCAATATTATTTCTGCAAAAAGCTACTGTCAAAGACAGTATTTTTTTTGAAATTACAAATTTGTCTGATAAAGGAAACACTAATATTCCTGTAAAGTGTGCAACTTGGTAACATGGATCTTGATTAAGAAACTAAAACTATAAAAAAAAATTAATGTGGCATTAATATGGTGATTAAAAACTGACTATCCTACTGGAATCAGAGTGGCCTGTAAATGAACAATCACCACTAAACAGATGTATGCCTAGCAGATTTCTCTCACAACTTTTTGGTCCTTCTCTACAGACATAAGACCATAACTGATAAAGTTCACAAGTGAGACAAAGATTTGCGAAATGGTAAATAATAAAGATGACAGATCACTGTTAGGGTGGTATGTGGGCTGGGCACATAGAATTCATTCTAATATAGCCAAGTATAAAGTTTGACATGTAGGAACAAAGAATGCAGACTATACATACAATACAGGAGATTCTATCCTGGGATGCAGTGATTCCATAATGGATGTGGGCATCATAGCTGAACACGAACTTGTCATTTATCTCCAAAGAAAAGGAGTAGACCAGAATACCCATGAAGTTGGAGCTCTGAGACAGGATGTGCTTAAGCAAACAGAAAGATGTGGGTAACTAGCAATAGTTTTGAGACCTCAGCAACTGAACCATGGGGTCTCATCTCAAAAAACAGGCCAATGCAGAAATGGAAACAAAGCTGTTTCATCAGCGTATGTAGAACATATGACAAAATATTAGGCTACATGCCAAGTCCATGTAAATCCTGGTTGCTGAAAGTAAAATGAGACATGAATTTACATACATGTAGCATTTTGTACTCTATTTTGCAGGAAGCAGTCCATCATTTGCATCAAAAAGTGGGACAGACAACTCGCTGGTACCTTCAAAGAATTCTACAGGGCAGTGAGAAACAGTAACACACACACATCTCCCTAAGATCATTTAGTTACTTCCTCTAGGGTTGTTACAATTTGCTTGTGTCACTGATCCCTCTTTGATTATTTCCAGAATATAAAAACTATGACTTTGATAAGGAATTAGAGGGAGGAAACAAGAAGGTATTTCTAGTTCAGATTTTAATTTGGAGAATCTGAATATATCCTCAACACATGCAAACATCAATTGCCCCAAATGAAGCTGTTCAAGCCCTTACTGTTTTTATGTAAGATTAATATTAACCATCTGGTTAGTAAAATATGCTTTCAAATACTGATTTCCTTACTAGCTTTCTCCTTTAGAAGAGCAACTTGCTGTTTCAGGTATTCAATGACCTGGTCTGCCTCTGCGCCCTTTTGCTCCAGTCTGTTCAACACAGCATTGTTGGCTGCCATCTTTAGCAAGGAACGGACTAAAAACCTAAACAAATAGGGGAAAAAGATAACATGAACATTTTCTTAATGTAGTTAACATGATCATCTTGTACCACATAAAGCAGCCCTAAAAATCAACTGCTGATGAAGCAGAACATTTGGTAAGTGAACAAATCGGGCTCCCCCCAACCCCAGCCCCAACAAAAGGCAATGTTAACCAGACTGATATTTGCCAGCTGCATTTTTCCCTTCTTTTTTTTAAAGTATTTTCGAAGAAAAGGCACTTTTCCTCCCATCTGCATAAAACATGTTCTTGCTTCATAACAGCAAGAAATTCCACCTTCCCCTAACAAAAGAGCCAGAGCCCAGCAAGGAACAAACAAGACATTGGAAAAAAATAAGCATGGAAAAGACTAGCAGAAAATAAGGTTAGACTAGCAGTTCTCAATCTTTTTAGGCTCAAGGCACCCCTCCAAAAATACCAGCTCTTAATTTTCACAATTTTTATATGAAAAATAACCCAGCAATTCTGTTGCAAAGAACTCAAAGGCTAAGTACAGACAGTCAAAAGGCCCAAAACTGAATTGATTCAATCTTCACAGGTTAGTCTATGCTGTGGAG